ACTGTTCCGGATTGAACTGTCCTAGTGATGGTCCATTACATTTAATGAAAACCAGGCTGGACAGTCGGCTGACAGAGAGAGCATTCCTTTTTGCAGTAAGGATATCGTTCATGCAGCTGAATGCCCGCTCACACTCACTAGTGGAGACGGCGATGGTTCGGACTGCTTTCAGTAGAGGCTCCATGGCAGCAGGTGTACGGGATGCCCTGGTTTCCTTGTATTCGCGAAAGCCCTGAACAGTCTCTCTTCTGTCCACTTTCAGCACTTCGCACAAACGTAGCACCTCTATGTCCCCATATTGTACGTCTAACTCCTCTTCAGGACAACTTCCAGGATGGATAACTTTCATGTCCTGGATTAGCTGATTGTCCCGGGCCTCCCGGCCATGTAATGGGATTTTTCTTGTGCTGACATGAGAGGAGGTTGTGGAAGTCATTCTGTGTCTCAGATTCTCTACCATACTGCGGAAAAACTGACCTGCATGAATCTGTACAAGCCTGCCATTCTCACGCAGGGCAACACCCTTGAAGGACTTCTCAGCTAGAGCTGTATGAACTGTAGTCATGTGTGGGCCAGGCATGGTGACCATGGATTCAAAAACTCGTATTTCTCGAGTTAAGAGCCTATCTGCTGTAGGCAGTGTCATCTCTCTTTTTTGGAGTTGCCGAGAGAGGTCGCTGAGCTCTGTGAGCGCATCGTACATCAGTCCCAGATTGCTGACAAACGTTGCAGATGTGAGCACATCATCCAGGCCCTTGTACTTTGCTCTGTCTCTGGAATCCCTGCTCGTGTCGTTTGCAGCATTTGTGAAGTGATCATGAAGCACTCGGTAGTTTTCCCAGACTGCTCTGACGCTCCTTTCACTTGAAACCACCCAGCGGATGGACAAAACACGCCCTATCACCAGGAGACGCTGTCCGACTGCTTGCGCACACTGCGCTAACTGCCTCTGATTTTTGGGGGAGGCATGGAACAAGGAATAGAGTTTGTCAAAAAAGATCTGGAAATGATTGAGCCCTGAGACCTCCTTGACCACATCCCCAACTGCCAGCTCTAGACGATGATTGGAGCAGTGCCACACAAACAGGCTTGGGAATTTACTACACAACTGGGTAGCAACGCCTGTTCTCTTCCCTAGCATGACTGAAGCCCCATCACATGCAAAAGAAACGAAACACTGACCTAAAAAGTCCTCGTTAAAATCTCTTCCAAGACACTCCATTAACACCTTTGTGATGTCATCAGCCGTTGTTCCATCCAACTCGATCAGCTCCCAAAAAAACGTTTCGGGCTCAGCATCAGCTAATGCTGAGCGTAGACACACAACAAGCACCGTTTTACCACTAATAGTGGTAGATTCATCGACCAAAACACAGAGTTTTCTTTGGTTTTCTGTAATGTCTTTTGCCATTTTTTTTCTTCAGCTCATGAGCTATGTGGTCGATGATTTCGCCACAGGTTTTATTGGAGTGCAAAACCCTGCCCACGTTCAGCCCATTCAGTTTCTGTACATTCAAATCAATTGGCATGTCTGTGAATGGCCGGCTATGTTTGCCAATTTTATATGCCGTTCGAAAAACTCTGATAGTGGTGTCTAATTCAGATTTATGCATAGACTGCACTTGATGTTGAATAGTTTCACGTGAAGCAGATGTAAGGATGTCAGCAGCTTTTACATGGGCTTGTGATTCTTTATGTTCTTTGATTTTTTTTCCTCAGGCTAGCTTGTTGTTTGCCCTTGTCAACACCGAAATGAGACACTGCACACTCACCCCATTCAGTTGACAGTTTCAGTCCTTGTCCAGTGTGTATTCCCAAATATTTGACATCTCTGCATATCCGACATCCTAGCTTCTTATCTTTAAGAAGGAGCCATGCATTGGTCTTGCAAAAATATTGCACCTGGTCCGTTGTCCAGCAGTCAGGTGCATCGCTTTGCCCGGTGTTGGTGGTGGCAGTTGCGCCAGCAGCAGCTAACGTTAGAGGCTCTGGAGGAGGCGGCGGAGCTAGTGCTAATGCTAATGCACTAGAACTTGGAGCAGGAGGATCAACCAAAGAAAGCTCCCCATCAGACACAATTTCCAACACAGGCACAGCATTCTCTGTATTTGAAGTTTCTTCCGGCGACAACCGCTGTCTTTTTGCACTTTTATTAATCCACGCTAACATTTTAGAAATGCTAATTTGTGACGTGACTTGCTTTCCTTCTCTCGGGGGCGTGCCTGCTCTGTTCTATCACTCTACATAGCCACCCACTGGGTGGGAGTTGCACTGCATAAACACAACACACGTGCATCTAGGTATGTAAATTGTAAAGCATTAAAACATGGTTTTACTAACAGTTTTCAGTATGTTGTTACTTCGGCATTATTATTATTATTATTATTATTATTTTGAAACGTGTATTACTATTAAATCACGGTCAAATAGGTTAATTTTGACATAGTCGTTTCCACCACAGTATTTACATGGAGAAGATAAGCCCCGCCCCCCTCTCCAGCACGTTCTGTTTGAATGACAGGAGTAAACAGCTGACAGCCGCTGTGAAACTCCAGCGGTTAGAGCGATGAGAATGTCCGTTCGGCACCTCATGACGCATCTACTGAGTACCGGGCGGCTGTATATATATATATGGATGTATAATAAGAACGGCGGGAGAGTGTTGAGTACTGGCACGGTGCATGAGTACCGGAGTACCGCCAGCATGCCGGTACTGAGCAAGAAGTGCCGGTACTCCATGGGTCAGAACCAGAAGTGCCGGTACTGCGTACCGGTGAGTACCGGCCCAATTCCAGCACTGTGCATCGGAACATAAACCATGCCCAAGGCGGGCTAAGCAGTTCATCGTCTCCGTCTCTACTATTTCTCTCCGAGTGCAGCGATGAGGAAGCTGCCATCCGTAACCAGTGTGCCTTGCTCGTGATTTACCAGTGTCTGTGCTGCCACTTACGCCCACAATGTTTCAAAGTGGTTGCTATGTTGCCCTTTATTTGTGTATGTTTGCGATAAGTGTGCGTCTTTACGCAATGCTGTTGACCTTGCTGTTTGATATTGTGCCGCAGGCCCGCAGCACGTGACGGTTTTGTGTGCCCTCCCATGAAAATCATATGCCCTCCCTTTAGATTTGTTCTGGCGCCGGGTCTGATTCGAACTACGGCAAGCCTCGAGCAACAAGTTATGGAAATATATCATTAAATACAAAAATAATTATAAAGTAGTGAGAGGGGGAAAAAGCGTGTGAAATGGCAAGTGTGGCGTGAGGCGTGTGAAGAGGTTAAATTGCGTGACTCTCACTCTCAAAGGGTGAGACTTGGCAGCTCTGATATATCTATGATTGGAACGCAACCCTGCTCTAAGCTGATGCTGAGGACTTCCTGTTGTGAATGGTTCAGTTTCTAAATGAGTGTTGTCGCCCCCTGCTGGTCACACAGTAGGCTGCACACGGTCCTGAGTTCATATCAGGTGCTAGATATGACTGCAGGCGGATATGACAGCAGTATGTATCCTTTTAGTGTCAGTTAAAACAACACACAGTACTTAAAAAAAAAAAAAAAGTAATTGTTTGACGTATTACTATTTAGTGGCCTTATGCTTCTGGGTGAGGTTAAAATGTGATTTTCACTCTTTTCCAGTAGTTCAAACAAATATATATTGAATTGTAATATTGTAATTGTACTGACACATGCTGGTATTTATATTGTATTGGTCTGTATCTGATCCGTCTGTATAATTGATAGTGTAATAGAGATGATGTCATATTTTATGTCTGCAAATGGAATTGAGCTAATAGCTCAATCTGGCATAAATAATCTCTTCTCTAATTGAGATGAACATATTTGTATGCATGGTCCTTGTTTGATAAAGATATAAGCAATAATTGACAGTGTATTGTGCTTATCATGTATTAGCTACATGAGAATTAGAGGTGTCTATTTTCTCAAAAAAAATGGTTTATCTGGTAACATAGAAAACATCGGCAAAGTTCAAACTGTACATTTGACAGAAAATCCCTGTTTGTGCGGACACTAAGGTCAAAGGTCAAGTGTTAAATCTACGAGTCCTTGACTAAATCTAATTCTCAGTTAACTGACACTCATGCAACTTCTTAACTAATCAGTTAAGTGCTTTGTTTGGCAGATCCGTAAAACCGAGTTTTTCAACATCTGCAAAAGCACCAGTGTTAGCCAGAGATGTGTTCATGGGTGTCTTGGAGATAAGTCATTCAACATTAAAGAAGCATTCAAAACAATTATAATTGTTCACAGTTCAATGTTAGTTTTCATACATATCAGAGAAAGAAAGAATCGAGGTATGCAAACAGGTTATTTATGCAAATATGTGCATCTTTAATAGCATGAATGCCTGTAAAATACCCACACTCATAAAGTAATTGTGATTGTCAGAATATAGACCCCTAAAATACATATCTATCATGAAAGTCAGACTATTATACATACATGAATATTCAATCTGCTTTATTACACTGATTCAAGCCACATGCTTAGGAGGTCAAGAAACAGGGTTGCACATTTCATATTAATGATAACAAACAGAATTCTCTTGGAATAAAACATATGAATGCACAGGTGTTTTATTTATTTATACAAATCTAGATTGTTATTTAAAGTCAACAAAAGCTCAGTGGTGGTTATGTACAGATGAGCCCACGATTCGCTGTTATTATGGATGTGCTTTTTCGCTGGGCTTAAGCATTTCTCTGGTCATGCTTTAGCGAGGTATAACGTATATGGTTATGAAAGCTTTAGCGCAAGTTCAATAAGGAAGACCTAACACGAGTCACTTACACGTCACTCTATGGCTCCCTTCCCCCCTCATCAAATACGAGGGCGTCACCCCTCAGCAGCCAATCGCTGCACATGCTAAATTCCTTAAATGCCTGCTCTTCCTCCCTGTCAGTTGTCATTGCAGATGATCACACGCAACCCGCCTCCACCCCTCTCGCCTCCTGTCTCCTTCAGGACAAAGCTAAACCTTCCTCCTTCAGACCGGTCTCACCTACTCATCACCACCACCAGTGTCTAGACCCCGGGGATTTCATCGGAGCGGTTCTTTCCCTCCTGAATGATTATCCTGCAAACCAGGGCCTAATCGCCAAACACCATTACATTCTCCTGTTGTATTATCGTGGCAATAATTTCATTCATATGATGTGTAAACAATAAATATGTAATCCTTACATCACGTCTCTCCAGTTTTAAATAGTGTCCCAGTACTCTGAGGATAGCATAGAAAACAGTCACAGTATCGAGCAGAAGAGGACACTTGTAAACATGAAGGGAGGCAATCTCCCTCTTTAGATTGACAAAATGACAGTGTGGCGTAGTTTGTGAGATGCAATGATAAAGAGGAAAACATGGGAATAGAAACAACATGCTGCAATGGTTGCATACTTTTGTTATAGACATCCCTGTATGCACTTTAAAGTCATTGCTGCTACCTGCTGTCTGACAGGATCAATGTCAGATTTGGGTTGGAATGTATTTGTTTCAAGCAAATATAAGACATACACACGTATCACTAAATTACTTTCTGAATCTGAATTAGAAATACCCATGATTAAAACTTAGTTATACTTAGATAAGAAAAAAAGTAATAGCATAGATCTTAAATAAAATGTCAGTAATAAGTCAGGGCAGTGTGATTGTTGTAAACTTTCAGAGATAATGTTTTTTAACTAATTTCACATAGAGCATATAACACAGACATCATGCACTGAGTCAACACTGTTTTGCCAACTTGAAGAATGATACGAACACAGAGCACTTTTCCCTTTCACAACAGGGCAAACCACTTTCAAAAATACATCTCCCAAGCACAAAGACACCTTCACTTTTGAAACAACGACAAATACGACATTTAGTAAACAACACCTCTGACAGATAAAGAGTAAAAGACTCTATCCAATCTTTTTTTTTACAATACCCAACAATACTTATATACACAATAGGTGACACCCTTAATGCCTTTTTTTTCTTATTTTTTTGACAAACCTGCCTCCTCTCTGATCCTCCCGATTGCCCTATTTGAAATGCAGAAGTGCCCGCTATAGGAAAGGCTACATTTGGTTAGAGAAGGAGGTTGGCCCTCCCACCTGGCTGTACTCAGACGGCTGGTCGTAGTTGCCCTGGGTGTTGTAGCTCCCTGATTGGTCAAAGCTTCCCTGGTTGTAGGTCTGCTGCTGGTTAAAGGTGCCCGCCTTTTTCTCTGATGCCCCGTCTGCTAACCTCGAAGCACCCTTGTGCCAACCAGTCTCCTTAAAGACAAACCAGATGTTCCCTGCCCATAGAACGAAGTTGAGGAACCCAAAAACCTGAAGGGGAATAAGACAAAGCAATATTTTTAAAGTTAGAAAATATTACTTAGTTAAAAAGTTCTTATTTCTACTTATTTTCCTACCAATTTCATTAATCAACAACACATCAGCTTCTTTAGTAGTGATTCACTCAAACAAATAATTTTGTTTTGTTTAACATGCAATGACAATAAACTCAATATCTTGGATCTTCTTTTCGAAGGTTCTATTCTCTTTTGTATTGCATTGTATTTGATAAAGCATCTCATCATGTTTGGGAGGAACATTAATATTAATGTAATGTATCTTGTTGAAGCCGAATATCAAATGCAATGCAGATAACAATGAGAAAATTATAATCAAAAATGTTTCCTCTGCTCAGTGTTTTATTTATAGGAAAACCTGCCTGTCATAAAGCATATTCAGGCAGTAGCATATACACCAACAATACAAATAATAACTTTTTGTATCTAAATACATAATCCTGGTACATGTAATCTGTCAATCCCCAAACTCGTGTACATATGTTTAATTGCACACTTTCACCCTATCAGGTGATCATGTTTGAACAACAGAGTTACACCAACTGCCATCAGTTTCAACACTTCAGCCCACTTCTTTATTTTTGTTCCAACACTTTCTTTCAGGATTTCAACATCAACTCAAATCTCCTACTCAATACAAAATGTTTTACTAAAGCGTACATTTCAACTCCTTTCAGTAATTCAACTTCACTCAGGGCGTACACTTAAAAACGTAAGGTTCAGCATTTCAACGTATATGTGTGTAACTGACTTTTCCACTACTTCAATTATTTTCATTGCCTTTTTCTGGTTGATTTATGTATTCATGCGCAGTGTTTGGGTCACACATCCTGCGAACCTACCACTGAGGTGTTGAGACCCGACCAGCGCGGTCCATGCACAGAGCCGCACTTGTTAGACTGGACTTTGCAGGCAGAGATGAGGAACTGCACCTCATCTGGATCAGTGGCTGTTTTCACATCAGACAGAGCTTTGGCCCAGGCGGAGGAACTGACCAGCCACATGAAGGAGAACACCACTGTCACTACAAAGTCCTGATGGCGAGAAAGAGAGATAAGACAGGGTATGGAACAATTAAACTCAAGGGTAAGATTATACAATGTGAGTAACTGTTAGGACAAATATCACTCGTCACCGGCTTGAACTTCAATATCAGGATACATGTATTTATTATCCTTGCAAGAATGGAAGTAGTCATCACATACAGAGCTGCATGGGTCAAATAGTTCCCCGAATAGTGTCCTTCACATGCCTTATATACAAGAGAGGGTGATACAGTCACAAGATGGAGGAATGCCGGTTTAAAGCAGTATACAATGTTTTGTTCAGATTAGCTAAGGCCTGCGTAAACAATAAACAGGACAGTCATATGCCTATCTCCAAAGAGGCTGAATCATCATGTTAATCGTTGTCATATAGCTATCATATGCCTAAAACAGTGTGTCCTGACGCTCTTCTAGGTAATCATACATCCGGTTACGTACGCAGCTACAGTTGGGCCTTTGTTATCATGTGCTACTCTGATATTGGAAGATTACATTCAGTATTTTCCCAACAGTAACTAACACTAAAACCTAAGATTTCCTTGGTCCACTGTACTCACAATGAGAGGTCCTCGGTTGTTTTCATGGTACATGTTCTGAAAGAAGATGTAGACAATGGTGGCCATGAGGGAATAGAGGAAGGCAAAGACCGCAATGGTGACAAAAAACTCTGCAGACGATGAAGAGTCTCCGATGAGGAACACACGCTCGTTTCTAATGCCTTCACACGCGGGAGCTTCAAAGGACACCTGGTGCAACCTGAAACACACAGAGGGAAGTGCAGTGGTCAAATCCTATTCACTTTAGAAATTGGTATCAATAGCACTCTTGTATATGTATATGTTTAACCAGGAGGTCCTAGTAAAAGATGACACAGCAATCTATTCATATCTTCCCTGTCTTTAGCTCTTGCATGACATCTTCTGAAATGTAGTATTTTACCTTAAAGCATTTGATAAAAGTAGTTATTTGCAGATGAGAACAGTAAGTTAATCATTGTATTTGATTTTATACAGAGTGCAGCTGTAAGGAATTATATATCTAGAGATGCAATGATTATTTAACCACCAGTAAAAACATTATTTAAGTAAATAAAGTTCCTTTGGGGGTCACGTTATCATGCACAGGTTCATACTCATGCCGGCAAACTATAAAACAATGAATGAAGACCTCTCACCTGAAAGGATAAGCAAAGTCGATGCCGATGCTGAGGTTGCTTCTGGCCTTCTCCATGCAGTCCACACTGACCCGCAGCTGCCCAGAGTAGCCCCCACATGTTGCAAATGCAAAAATGGCAAAAAGCTGCACAAAGAAAGAACAAAAAAGCAGTTGGCAATGGATGAGCAGATTGGACCAACACACTCCTTGGAAAAAAACATTATTGTTAAATGATCACACAACAGGTGTTTTAGTTACTCCATACCCTCCTTACAAAATGTCCTTACACAATGAGCCACATACAACATGAAACTGTCCTTGAATTAATTCCTAGTAACAGACCCAAGTGTTGAATAGTGAGTGTCAGCAGTCCACCATTTTAAATATTTGGCTCACGGACATCTCAAGCCAATTTAACACCAGCTGATAGCATTTTGGCCACATCAGCACATGGACTATAATAGCTGCAGAGAGTGTGTGGGCTGAGCTGAATCAGGACAGAGTCCGGGGGTCCAGAGGAAGACATCACTGTTTGTCCTCCTCCTCTGGCACCTGATGATGATACCAGCAGGCTTTTAAGGTTAAAATAAAAAATAAAAACATTTGACATTATTCTTATTCTTTATTCGTGGATGTGTGTATGAATTGTAATGACTGATACAATACGCATAAGCAATGTATTAGAGAAGGATGACTGAACTCTCATTATCGGTCCACAGTTTTTTCTTTAGGCAGAACAGATATGAGGGTGCAACACAGAGGCGGATTTTGCGGGGGGGCATTGCCCCCCCTAGTGGCTGAAATATGTTACAGCATTACTACTTCTAAAACTGTTCCAATACAAATATGTCATATATCAATATTTTAATAGATGTAATATAATGATTGTTACAATACAAATCTGAATAATATCATATTTTGTTTGAAATAATTTCATTTTAAGCAGTCACATGTTGTGACGTGTGTGTGTGTGTGTGTGTGTGTGTGTGTGTGTGTGTGTGTGTGTGTGTGTGTGTGTGTGTGTGTGTGTGTGTGTGTGTGTGTGTGTGACGTATGAGGTTAAGGACACAAGTTCCCTCGCTTTTTTTTTTACATACAAGTGATTCAGCTATTGTATTACAATAAGATATGCGGCGATTTTTAAAACGTCCAATTTCTGGGACGTTTAAGGCGTCTACTTCTGCACTAAGTAGGACACTGGTTAATAATATTGTAGCGTGTTCAAGTAACCAAGGGATATAGTAGTTATCATATAAGATGTGCACAGTTATGATAAGTTTTACAGATGTAATGCACTGTTGTTGGGGGGAGAGACCGCCCCTTCCATATGAGTGTGTGTGTACGGCGGGCATAAGGCGGGCATAAGGCGTGCATGACGAGACGAGTTGTGTTCGTATGTGGAAAAGTCATACTCAGTGCGGTGAACGCTGGTTTTATTGCTACTGTATCCGTAGCACCCCACGCAATAGTTGGGACTGTGTACTGACGTCAGTAAAAAAGGTTTGCCCCCCCAAGCGCAAATGTCAAACTCCGCCTATGGTGCAACAAGCTGAATAAACTTGAGCCGAAATGGCCGTGATACCACTTGAACAGCAGGAAACAGCACTGAATGTTAGTAAGTGCAGCGTAAAGTCATATCTAAGGTAAGAGGACGTAAATCAAACGAATGTGAGGAATGTGATGTTTTCACCTCGAAAGTTTGAACTTCAAATGCATTTTCAATAATGACACATTTATTGATGTTCTGCTCTTGTGTGCAATTTCCCATAGCCATCCTTGGTTAGAGCTTGGTCTACTCTTTAGATAAAGTTCAAGGAAACGGGAATTGATTGGAAAACAGAATTTGACACAACTTTATGGATCAGACTTTTTGAAACAATAATTGAGATCCAGCATTGGGCCAATATCTGCCATATCACATTTGAAGGTAAAAACAATGGTGAAGTCAGATCAGATATGAGACGAAACAAAGGGCCAATAAGGAAAATTGAATGGTTTACTGAGTGACTGCCAGTACAGACAGCAGGTTCTCAAAGTCTTTCTGTGTCTCCAGTTAAAAGTGGATGACTTGAACCCAAAGTAAGGATCTTCCATTACTATCATCAAACATGACCGAGCACGCACGTATGATCCCAGGCACACACACATCCCTCTGCCCTTAATATGCTCTCTCAGCTCAGTTTTCTATACAAGGCTCCAATAGCCTGAAGCCTTCTCAAAAGCATGATCACCATAATCAGACCTGATGCCAGGTTAGCTCAAGCCTCCCCTCTCCCATATTACAGGCAGCTGGACTTGAGGCTTGCCAGCAGCTGGAGAAGAGATATCTCTGTAGTTTGAACGCCCTCAGCCTCTGGAGGGCGCCATGTAATAAGCATCAACATTACAAGATCACGCAGCAGCACTGTTTACACTCACTCTGGCAGTAGCTGTGAGCCTGTCATTGAAGAGATGAAGTGTGCATGTTTGTAGCAAGCATGTGTTTGCATTCACAATGTATACATATGTACTTAGTAAAACAAAATTCACTTATTAAATGCCAAAAGTGTGAAGGTTAGGGTTAAGGTACTTCATTGGTGTTACATTCACTTATTATCAGTTATGATGCAAATCCACCACTATGCAGATGACATTGCCAAACTTTAAAATGTGTCTGCTCGTGGCCTGAATCAACTGTTTTTTAACGAACACATGTTCTCTTCAATGAACAAAATCAAATATTGAAAATACAGTCCCTACTGAGCTTTTATGTGACATATATAAGAGTTAGAAGTTAGAAACATGTCAGTCACAAAACTTATAATCAGGTAGTTTATGCCCCCTTGTGGATCAATGCTATCATTTAAGGACAATCTATTCATCAAATCTCCATGCAGAGCAGATTTAAGTGCATCGACTTATTTATTTTAACGATGTCAACCTCAAAGAGGGATTTAAATCAAAGCACAATTCATACAAAATTATCTTAACAAAAGGGATCAGTGGATATTAAAACTTAACCATATTTGTTCTCTTCACAACAGGCAGATAACTTACATCTGAGAACTGCTAACAGCGACAGTAGCAGGTGATGTGAGGGTAATCTGGGTTACTCAGGGCTTTAACTACGTGTGGCTGGGTCAGCCCAGAACAGAGCCAAGTGCTTTATGAAAAACAAATGGACTTGGATGTCCACTTGTTTCCTGCAGCGTCAGGCCTCAGGTGGATGCTGTCACGGTGCACAGCTGGAGCCTCTGCAGGGAATTCCTCTATACTGAAAGGTTTTAAAGTGATTCACTCACTTTACCGTTGGTTGGTTTAGAGGCAAAATGAGGACACAAACAAAAAGCAAAGTGCTTATACGTCTGCAACTAAAAGGATAAATACTGTCAATGCAGAATGTGGCTTATCTGAGCAAACAAATGGTGGAAGAAAAGTGACCGAAGGAGCGAGAGAATAAATACTCCCCCCTAATTATCACAAACACCCCCAGATAAACATCTCTCCCTCTCTGTACGTCTTTATACTCTGTGGCTGTCTGCTGCAGCTGCCTCCTCTCCCTGTGATTTTCGGCTCGGGTTTAGCCCCTCTCATTTCTGGCTGGGGCCTTTGAACAGGAGAGCGTGGCATTGTGAAAGGAGGGTGGGTGCTAAGCCCCGCGCCCCGTGTGTTTATCTGCCTCTCCCAGCTGGGCTCCTCAGGGAACAAGAGATAGACGGAGGGAGAGAGAGAGACAGAGAGAAGCCAGGGTACAGGAATGAAAACTGAATGCAGTGCAAAACACAAGCTCTGAAACATCTCCCTGTTTGCCCCCTTCTCCACTGACCTACATGGCGTTGACGACCACAATGTGTGAATATCAGAATTTGCTTTCAGACCAATGCAAGGTTTAATGAATACACCTTGTGATATTTCAATTCAGTTGGGTGGATAAGGTTGCATGGTTTCTGTCTGAGGAGTCACATGGTCCACCTGCTATATTCAAGTGGATAGGAATTGTTACAATGTTGAGTGGCTGCATTGCGAGGAGAAAAACGCCTCAGATGTTCAGCCCCTCCCCCTGCCTGACTGAGGGGGAAATATCTAGGACACTCTTTATGAAGACAGAAAGATTAAACACAGAGAGGCACATCCCTTTCAAATTGCTTATCTTATTTAAAATTAAACTCAACTTAAAAACCACACACACCATCTGGAGTGTGTTCTTCAGGGAGCAGAAAAGCATGCAGTAAGGACAATCTTTTGGGTTTAGGATATTCGAGAAGGACGTATTCGTTTTGATAGTTTTCTCATTTTGGAGGGATCTGACTCGGTCAGCTGTCATGTTGAGCTCCTAAAGATTTCCAGATGAACTTAAATTTGTGCGTTACTGTTCTTTAAAGAAATTCATGTCTGCTTACCTGTTACCCCATTGGCAACCCTGCAGATCAAGCCATTTTCCACTGATTTCCTGGCCAGATTGTCAATGATGGGTTGTGTTTTCCAGCCACATGAACCCATACCTGATCCACAGGTTGATGATTCTCTGCCTGTTGTCTTTTTGTCTAATTTTGACATTTGCCTGCGTTTTGATTTAAGTCAATGTAAACGTTGATCTCAACCTGTCTGTCTGTCTGTCTGTCTGTCTGTCTGTCTGTCTGTCTGTCTGTCTGTCTGTCTGTCTGTCTGTCTGTCTGTCTGTCTGTCTGTCTGTCTATCTATCTGTCGCTTTATGATTAATTTTCTGTTTTGGTGCACTTAGCTGTTTTAAGTCTGGTGATCTTTATGCATGTTACATGCTTCTGTTGATGTAGAAGCATGTGTCATGTGTTGTGTATTCATTCAGCATTTCCATTCACTAACAGTACATGTCAATGTTTGTGTGTGCATGGCTGCATGTGTGTCACATTGTGTGTAATCTCTCTGTGCATGTGTGCATTAATCTATATGTTTAAGGGCCTGGATGTGAGTTTGTAATGTGTGTATGTATGCGAATAGTGCAAAAATAACTCACATCCTCCACTCAGCCAGAAGCATTAGCCACAGTTCTCAAACACACACACACGCACGCACGCACGCCAAACACACACAGTCACTCTCACTGCTAGTGTGAAAACATGAGCAATTTTACAACGCCAGTTAGTTGAGTCCCAAAAACAAAGAACAAATTGAGATTCGGATTGGGG